GCTAACCCTAAAGCTAACCCTAAAGCTAACCCCTACCTTAACTTGAATCGGCTTGCTTTCAAAGCGCTATTTAAAGCGCCCTTCTTTCTCCGCACTGGCTGTTGTCGCCCTGTTGATGATGTCAGCGACGCAGTTTAATCGGGCGCGGTTTTGACGGGTCACGAGTGGCTAATACCATCTGCTCTATATCTCCTTTGGGAAAAACTTATTTACTCCATACCAAGACTTTTAACTTCAACAAACATTGTGGTAATGGTTGCCTATGCCACCCACTATACTGACAAAATTACTGGATTTCAGTAACCTGCAAACTTTAAATTTATGGGTGAGTTTTTATTCAGAAAGCCAGTTTATACTCTAGTCCTATACAGAAAGCAGCTGTGATAAATCTGAGCTATACTTTTCTCCTAAGATAAATCCTGGAAAATAGAAGCAGGACATACAGACATATATTCACCCAATTTTATTACAGCCTTTCTTTCATTGTTATAAAGATTGTCCATTGGACAATCCAAGAAATTCTGCAAAAACTTCAAAGCTGTTAAAATCCAAGCTTCTTCTCCTTACCTCCTCTAGTTTGAACACTCCTCCTATGTGAGGCTGGATTTGACCCTCTTGGTAATATGAAAGGGCTGAAGAAATGGTTGAGGAGAAGACTGGGAACTTTTCATCCCGGTACCGGCCCCAGAATAGTCCCAGAGCAGAGATGTTTTTCAGAAGCAATATGTTGGCTGGAATGGACGGTATCGTTCCTCCAGCAAAACCAACCACCACAATTCTGCCTTCAAAAGCCAGACTGTAAAGAGATCCAGAGATTAATGCTTGGATCAAATAGTTAACATCGCAGCTCCGTCACTCCTTGAGTGGGTCAAAATTTATTCCTGAATGGATGGAAATCATCAAGTCATCAATTAGAGCAAAAGGGTTATTTTCTAAAGAGAAAGAGCAGATGTGCGGTTGCTATGCAATTATACAAAGAGTGGGGAGGACAGTGCTAGACGGTTTCAGAAACAAAGGATTTAAAGCAGGGGTGTCAAACTCAGGGCATCACAGGACTTTTTCCCCCTTCTCTAAACCAGGTGTGGGTATGGTCAGCATGTAACACATCTGGCCCACAAGTTTGACCGAAATAGATCATGGCTTTAGCCCACCTATGCAATGCCTGCTTGAAGATGTCTCCACCAACGGTGTCAATAACCACATCAACTCCCTTGTTTGCTGTTAGCTTCTTCACTTCTTCTTTCAGACTAGCCTCGTTGTAATTCACACTCTCGAGAGCTCCTTTCTGGATAGCCAGGTGGCATTTACTATCACTTCCTGCTGCTGCTATCACCTGCAATCCCAAAAGACAACTGCACATTCTTCCAACTGACACCGCTGCATTATAACAGATGAGCCCTTTCCACCCGAGGTTAAAGTTCCCCAGTTTTGAACCATCCAATGTATCCGCCATAATTCCTGGGCACCATGGCCAACACACTTAGCACACAATCGATTAGAGGGAGCTGCATCTAACATTAATTTGGATGGAAATTAAGACGATTAGTCTGGTTGCATTTTTCTGGTTTCTTCCCTTCTTTTTCTTCGTAAGTAAAATTAATGCTATTTTCTCCAAAGGAAGCTTATTGGGAGGAGAACTGCCCTTCATGGTATTGGACCTGGGTACTTGAGAGACCACCTGCTGCCAATTACCTCCAATAGACCGATTAGATCCCACAGATTAGGCCTCCTCCAAATTCCATCCGCCGGCCAATGCCGGCTGGCGACCACCTTATTTTCTCTTTCTTTT